TTTCATTTTTTAAAAAGGCAGGTAGATATATTTTGATGGTATGCAGACTGCTTAACTGAAAGTTGTATCTTTTATAATTTGAGCAAGGAGTTTTTTGTTTGTTTCTTTGTTTTGAGATATTAAGGGGTCTCCATTTGTTGAACTTGAATGCTTTTGTTCTCCGTATGGAAAATTATAATTTATATTCTATTTATATTTATTTGTATTTATATTTAAAGTATGCAAGTGTTTTGGAACATTTTAAAGCTGTGATGTAAATAGTGTGCTGGACATGTTCAGTTTTGTTCAACCATTCTATAACAATAGTTATCGTTAAATATTTAATAATGCTGTCAGTATGCAAGACATTTTGCTTGGATGTAAAAAGGAAGCTGTGCCTACTTTCAGTGAGTTTACAAACTAAGTTACACTAATAGTGTTCAGTTACTTTTGGACAGAACACAAAATCCGTGCTGGTTTTGTTAAGGGAGTTCATAAATCATGATCCCAGTTCTTCCGCACCGCTTTGAAAGCACCAGGTCACTTTAAAAACCTTATTCACATAATCATTAGTTTGAAATGTGCATCTGTTACATGAATAAAATTTCAACATGCTGAATATCATATACATAGAGACAGAGAAAGGATGAGAGGTCCTGTATAAGATTCAGCACACTGAGTTAAAATTAGAGAACAGTGTGATGGACTTAATTTTCTTTCCTAGACATACCTACCTGAAAGCAAGTGAATATCCTAGTCTGTAAGTAGCCATTGAGCACATAGCTGGATGACTAGGAATTGAAATGAAGGACTCTGTCAGGAAAAGAAGTTACCATAGTGTAACGGTAGGAAGTATACAAAGATGTGAATGGAGAAACAGATAAATTGGATCTTGAGACGAACGTTAGGTGTCCAAGGTAACTAATGGTGACTATCACTATTTTAGTGCATTGTTCATTCTGGGACAGAAATTTATCACATTGAGTGATGTGCAGAGCAATTGGCGCTCAGTAAATATGGAGCCAATAGTGAGGGATCTGTGGAAGAAATGTAGGGAGGCAAAGCCTTGTTACTAAATTTACAGCTAAACCAAACACTTTGAGAATATTGTAAAGACTTTGGAAAATCATCTTCATCATAAGAGCTACAGAGCTAGCTACAGAATTCATAACACAGAGATTTTCAGGTAACCGAGTGAGTAACAGAGAAAATTTGGATGGTGTAAAAGCTAAGGGCAAAAATGGGAACACTGTGCCAGCTGCTGCCATTTCTGCTATCAGCAGTTTGTGTTTGGCTCTAGTTTTACTATTTTAGAGCTTTTTAATGACACACTTTATTTAAAATGGAGATCTGTGCCCTTTTATGTTGAGTACTGTACATCCCTCTGATAGACAATTCTTGGTCGAGTGTTCGTACATGCAATATTTTAAAATATGTAAAAATAGACCTAAATCAGACTAGAAAAGTCAAGATAGTCCTGAACGTTTTGTGTGAGAATCAGCCATCTCTTATGAAACTCAGTAATCACAGGCACATTTTACAGAAATGCATTAAATAGAAAATTCAGATAACTATGTAAAATGCAGTCATTTTTAGATAAGTGGTATGAAACAGATTGAAATAAGATTTAAATATTTGTTTTGGAGGGAAAAAAAAATCAAACCTAAAGGGTAGCAGATTACTTTCTTAACCCAACTTTTTGTATCCATAGCCTTAGCAAGAGGAAACTACATAATGCTTTTAAAAGACAGAAAGGATTGAAGAAAAAATATATGGGCTATCGAGGTATAAAAAGCTATAAAATTTGAGAATTATGTTTATATTATATTACACAGTATCACAGAGCGACAGCAGCATTTTTCCTGCTTGTTGCTCAGTGGGCTGCTGTACAGTTTT